CTCACACACTTCATCATACATACATCAAAAATATCAAGTTTTGGCAGAATATGACAAGCTATGACTTCGTCTGGAAGTCTCGAGAACTGGTCTAGTTCTGATCTGCACCGACTGCACGTGTCCAAACTGCAGCCTGTTGGTTTCAGGTCGTTCACAGCAACGTTGTTCCCGAGTGCCTCGCGATCGTGGTTTGACAAGTCATTGTCGTTTGGCGACAGTCCCCTACTGATTTTGGATGCTAGATCATATACTTGTGTAGCCATGGCGGTGAAATCCGGAGCTATGTGGTCAGTCAGTTCATGACATCCAAAGGTGTGTCGGGTAGTGGTCTCTTACTCAGATGCTAGTTGAAATGGTGAATCTTTGCAAATCAGTGTTAGCAATAAATCTGTGTTCAGTTTATCAATAAAAATGTCATTGTGGCATAACAGTACCATACAGCGACACGAGAACGTAGCAAATACGACCTGCAACGTACGTTTTGTCCGGTGCATTGCTTGTCATAGTTGTACACACACCAGGCAGGAGACATAACTTCCGGGAGCTTGAGGTCAAATGAATAGCGCCCTCAATATCAGACATTGCAGATTATTTTGTTTTTTATAATTCATTGTACTAGTATGTGATCAGTGTACAATGAAAAAGAGATTGCTGGCGGGCAAGAGCATGCAAACAATGGACAAATTGTATGGAGAGTAAGCAAATAACATAATGTAAGTACATTGCAAGTTACCAAACGATGAAAGACAAACATTTATAAATATACATTTTTATAAATCAAATGAATGTTAGAATTCAAATTTACAAATCCTGATGGTATTGTGACATCATCGTTGTTTCTAATTAATTTTAATGAAATTTAAAATTATGCATTCAGCAAGTTTCTAATTTCGAATATGAGAGCGGTCGCAGTTGCTAGTCTGTCACATAAAGGAATTTGTGATCTTTATGGGCGTGGACAATGTTTAGCTCTTGAGAAGACCACTATTAAATATTTGAATTTCAATGAAAACTGGTGACCGGCCTTTACATGTTTTTATAAATACGCTTATAAGCAAAGCCCCAGATTTTTGCTGTTCACTGTATCAATTTCAATCAACTTAAAGTGATTCTATACGATTTTATGAAGTCTTTGGCATTTGTTTTTATTTTGCGAATGAATTGCTTGTTACATCAATTAATCTTCTAATAATACTATAGATCCGGTTAGCGAACAACTAATATAGCGGTTATACATAGCGACACAAGTGACGACTTCCAGCTATTACATTCGGTCAAACATCGAGATAATGTATTCGTTCCGAATTACCTCAGAGAGAAAGTATAGAGTGACTTGGTTCAATGTGTTACATAGTTTAGAAACATTACTTTTCTCGAGGTATGCATAAGTGTTGAAATCGAGACGAAACAATTGTCTGCTGTGTAGTTGCTTTGCTATAGTAGTGAACGATTAATATAAGACAGCACTGTGGGAATGAGAGTTTTTCAAGTTATCACACATTTCTGAAAATCACGACATATAGTCCGCATAACATTTGAAGGAAATGATTAAAAATATATTTAAAAATTGCTAATACTGATTTGAGAATGATTTGTCCACTGGCAATTTACGTGAGTCAAATACTTGTGATAACAACTATGACGCTAACTACAGCAAAACGAAGTGAAGTAGTCTGCAAAGGAAAACATATTCAAAACGAGGCGCTTGATGGTTGAATAATGTAAACTCATTAATGATGATGTCACAATACAATTTCCGGATTGGTCAGTTTGAATTCTACTAGTAACATCCATTTTGATTTATTACATTTATTAAACTTTTATAAAGACCATCGTCTTTTACTGTAATCAGTATTACAAAATGGAGGAAATGAAGTATTATTTTAAAGTATTTAAACTTAAAATAATAGTACATAGAAAAACTACGCACTAATACATTAGTGGGATATGATTTGTGTGTACGGATCACATGTACAGAACAAACAATTGCATCTTGATTTATCCTGGCCGTTGCGACGTTTTTGTTTGAAGATGTTACGTGTCACCTTCCACCGTGACTATCCCCATCCCTTGGCCGAGGGGGTACTTGCCTGGTAATTGTTCGTCTGAAAAGGTTATCTCACTTCTCGCCATGTCAACTTGAGAACTGATGCAGTGGTACTTTAACGATGACGCTCTCACAACATGAATCTATATTCGACACATTACAAAGTGGATGCAGATAATTTATTGAGTGTTTATTAATAATGCAAATTAATACCTACACATGCTATCTTGATGATATTGAATGCATTATACAGTATATATGTATACATAAAGCGAAGCTTATATTAATTAGCGAGATTTGCTAAAAACAAACAAACAAAAAACCTCACAATATACTTTGTTATTATACCTTTTCCGTAAATATTCCGACGCCGTTTAGTAGTCTGCGTAAATATCACTAAGGTTATATGCAGAACGAAAGTAACTAATAGTGTAAATGTATGCCAACGCCGATACGATATCGTCTTCCCTGTGTGACGTCACTCGGTATTGATGGGAAAGGAGAGGATTAAAAGCTGTATATTATGTATAGTATTATGCCAATTATAAGTCAACGGGTATGGTGTATGCTAGCATTAATGTACAGTTATTCATTATGCTAGATTGAACTGGTTTTGACTACAAGCCTAAGGAGCCCGATCAGAGGGTATCATTTATTATTTATATACAAGTATGCGAAGCACCAATCTTTGGTGAGAATAACGTCCGAACTTTCCTCAAAAACCTACCCATTGAAACAAATTTTCCAAAAAATCAACCCTTGGTCGAAATCATGATATAGACAATATCATTGACACATATTACACATTATACCAACACAGCAAAAATACAGCACATTTAATTGAATCCTGGAAATATAAAAAAAAATGCACCCCTTGCTCGTTTTGAAACATAATTTATAGACCCCTTAGTAGGTGCCTCGCACACATGTTTGTAAAATTTTACTAATGACCCGGATGTCCAACAGCCATTTTTGCATAGAGCACATTGAGCAAGCGAAAATGGTAATTAGTCACGCAGCAAGGCCACACTAGGGTAGTACTGGATAATCCAATCTGTTCATTATTCCGCATTCCGCGGGGTTAGTCACGGGAAGGCGATACGTCACTCTTCTAGTGATGGCCGCCATGATGGTGGTCTCGGTCGCCATCATAGCCATCATCGCCATAATATACCATCATGACCTTGCAAGTGATGAATGCGGCGATAACCAACAGGCCAATCACCAAGGAGATTATGGACAGACGTCTGGCCCATATAGATGATCGATGGGCGGTGAAGGCGTCACCCTGCCACATAGCACGATGTACCTGTAATATACAGAGGCATGGGGAAATTGTTTAATAAGCAAGACAAATATTACCCCCCCCCCTCACTTTTGGGGAATATTAGTTTGAAGTAGTCGTATTCGGGGACATGGGGGGCTTTCATTTATCTAAATTAATATTGGATTATTAGTAATTATCTGTTTTAATGTTAGAATACCGTAGCTGTCGTTGTCGTACAGAACGCGTTCGTGTTCCCGATAAACAAACAATGTACTTTAAACGCGTTTATACGTTGCATGACGCAAGGCAACAAGTGGCGGATCTAGGGGAGAGGTTCTTGGGGTCCGGACCCCACCGTTGAAAAATTTATTCAATTTGTTTTTGTATAATATAAAAAATCATTAACTTAGTCTGGCGATTTTAAAGTTTGGACCCCCCCCCCTAAAAAAATCCTGTATCCGCCCCTGGCAACGATTATGACGCTTTATTTCTAGCTTATCATTATCTTAGAAACGTAAATTATTTCGGAACAAACAAACAAAGAATGTACTTATTATCGATTACATATATATGTTGCTTACATTGCGTGATTTGATGACAGCAAACAGGCTGATCGGCCAGAAACAACAGATGGTGGTGAAGAGCGCCAAACAAAGGTAGTCATTTGGTACGTCACGTGGGTTCACTAACATACGAGGTCCAATCGGTGCCACAGGTTGAGTTTTCACCTAAACATAAAGAAATTCACACATAAATAATCACATTTACCTCCCTCCACATTTAAATCATAGCTCGGATGGGATGGGCTTCAAGTAAAACACATTTTTGTTCGTAGTTGGTACACAGACAATACATGTAGGCTTACTGTTAGACTGGCTCAGCCATGGTAATTTTAGATTTTTTAGATTATTAAATCGTGGTCCGACGCGAAATTACCATGTTAATTTCGCGTCAGGATGGAAAGTTCTACAAACTCGTTCTAAAGGAATTATCGTATAAAACAATAAAATTGCCGCGACTGGGCCAGTCTAGCTTAATGTAGCCACAGCATTCTGGCTAGGTGACTTTTGGGGCTAAATGCGAGTACCGCCCGTTCATGGTGACGTTCCGATGGGTGCAGCAAAACATAACATATGCGTTTAGTGAACTGTTGTCAAGTCAGCACTATTCTTGGCTAATTAAACTCCTGTACGTCTATTCTTACACACAAGTCACTCATCTCACAAAATACCCACCCTTCGTATCCCGTGACTGATTGAGTACCTATCACAGATTTGATCGTTGCGACATTGTTGATTGTAAATTGAGCTAACTATGACGCATCTCTTCAACATCCACGGAATAATATCGTTACCGTGAAAAAAAGCGGTCAACCTCGAACTAAAGAATTTTCAGCTTTGTCATTATACACTCTCCAGACACGTTGACATTATTCGGGATCGTTGTGGTTAACAATCTCTGTTGACGATACTCACCACATTGTCAGGAAACACCACATATGGTGGCGGCATTCCATTCTTTTCCTTTTCCTCTGAAAAACACAAAACATTATGGAATGGGCTGATGTATTATGGATGCGATAAACATATTGTAGATTCCCTGGTTGAGGTTGTAAATATGAAAACTGAACATTTTGAATTGAATTGTGGCAGTTGTGGGTGTCAGATTCGAGAACCAGGTATGGTATATACACGAAAAATACGACTGAAAAAACAAGCCATGCAAGGCACAGTCCCCGTTAGTTATAAAACTTAAGATATATAATTTTGTTTATAGTAATATAGTTCAAACATAAAGATGTCAGAGACATGGATCCAGAAGCTGATGCTTGATTATGGTGATTTGTTAACACTGAAATGATTGACATTCAGTCATCTTGTATTTGATCGTCAAACGAGTACCTGTCCATATTGAGAGATATTGCTGTGGAACATTGCCCATTTTGAATACATCTGTTTATCTATAACATGATGTAGAATGAATATATACAATTTCAACATAATCAGTTGAATCATGTCAAAGATCTAGAACCACATTCATTAAAACAAAATGGCCGCCAGTCCGCCATTTTGAATCTGATTTGAAAAATAAAATGACGTGCACCAGGGATCCATAATGTCTTATGTATGTACCAAGTTTGAACATAATCCATAAACGACCAAGATCCAGTTCCACAATGCCAGAAATGCTTTATTTGCGATGACTTTTTAGCACACAAAAAGGCCGCCACTTGGCCATTTTGAATCAGATAGTCAAACAATTATATCTGTACATCTATGACATGATCTATAATGAATATATAAAATTTGAACATAATCAGTCAAAGCATGGCAGAAATATGGCACTAAAACTGCATTCATTAAAACAAAATGGCCCCGGTCGGCCATTTTAAATCCGATTTGAAAAACAAAATGACGCGCATCAAGGTCCCGTAATGTCCAACGTATGCACCAACGTATGCACCATCCATAAATGCTTGATTTTAATGCTTTTTCAGCACAAAAATGGCCGCCATTCGGCCATCTTGAATCAGATCGCGAAACAAATTGATGTGAAAATGTATAATATTATCATGTATGATGTATGTATGTTTGAATGTAATAAGTCCAGGCATGTCTAAGATGTAGGTCCGGACGCACGCACGGATGCACGGACACACGGACGCACGTTCCAGTTTTCGGACTGCGTCCGAACGGGGACTAAAAACGTGGCGTGCGTGTTTAATACTTTCCAAAATATACATTTATTTTTTATCCGTATTTTTGTTGCTCGCAGAGATTAAATATATAGTTTTTTGAACATATTATATAGACACCAACCGACACAAATGTCCTACAAAATGCACTCATATACCTCAGACTCCAGACAACATAATTTGTCCTTGAAATGTCATTGGGTAAACTTCGTGACCGGGTACGTGTTGTTGATGACGTATGTATCAATACAATACAATACAATACAATACTAGTATTAGTATAAGTGCATGGACTGAAAGCGTGAGCATTGTGCTCAGCTATCACGTGATACCATTGTTGCTTGGTACCAAGGTGTACGAAAAATACTGAGTCATTGTCGTATTTGCATATCAAACGTTAACAAGTCTTGGCGATTACTCAGCAGAAATTATGATATTCTTCTAGAAAGTATATATTGCTCAACTCAGTAGACGAAACTTTCTTCTAAAAATACGTATAACCCTATAATTTTTCCCATCACAGTAAGGCAGAGTTAGCTTCATGTACGTATTAGTACTAACTACAACTAATGATAATGAAGTATTTTCAATTAGAAGTCGAAAATATTACACATGCACCACACAGTCACAGATAATTCTTATAATCATTACTTAAAATGCAAATCTGGTCAATGAGTGACAACGTTCGTAATTTGTTGTCACCACAGTCGGCCACAATGCAAATGCCGATTACCAAAAAACACTTTTATACTCACCAGACATATTTTCAACTGATAACCGAGACCCGAGTCAAATTTTCACTCGCGATAATAACACCGGTACGACTTTGTCGATTCTGGCCGTCTGATTTTTTTTTTTATTTCATTTACGTCACAGAAGTCAAAGGTCATCTCAAAAACCCCGACAAAGGTACAGAGTAGTACCCCGCTCAATCAATTTCACAGCCACTGGTGGCGCACTGCCAGTTCTATATCATATATATTGCAGTTGCATGAGATACATATATTTTCTGTGAGATAATACTGGACAGTTTTGACGAATTATTCTCACGAGGGTACATGCAAATCAATATTGTTTAAAAACTGTCTGAAAAATGGTCATTTAGGAACCAATCTCTATATAAATTATATTTTATATAAAAATAAATAACATTTTCCAATAACTATAATTAACGACATGTGATTTTTTCATAACAGTGAGACTTTATCGCCATATAAGTAAGATAAATCACTTTCATATATGTGACTCGGGCATTGTCACCATCCTTTATTCTATGTTTTTGTCATATTACCTGAAACCCTGCAAATAGAAGTGTGCATGGAATCATGGGAAGAAACGGTGTGCATTGCAAAAGATGTTTATGATCTACCGACTTGCCTAAGTGAGACAGCTGTTAGCAAAAACACATTCTGATTGGCTCATGTGGAAACCCAAGTGAAGTCCCTGAATCCTGAATTTAGGCTACACGGAGGACAGTTGAGGTCCACCATTTCAACTGTGTACCCTGTGTGTAGTATTACAGGCTTCAACCATCATTCTGTGAGACTTGTAAGAACTGCTCTTCGATCTCCTGCTCTCAGCGGTGCCCTCCAGAATAAAGACTCCTGTATTTCTTCGTTGTTGTGTTGCAGAAGCCATTGACTGACATCCATTTCAACATCCTGTAACTGTGAGTTATCACCAATGCACACTTCCCTAGGCAATCCCTTATTTAGTGACTTTATTCAATGTATTTTTCTGTGCTTTATTTCTTGTAATTATCTTGAGAGGTATCATAGCCAGGAGTTTTAACTCGATATTTTGGTGTATGTGTATTTCATTTCCTACTGTCCTGTCTACCCCCATTCTAGCAGTGAAAGAACCCCCTGTCCAGTGTGAGTTCTGTGGGTGTGGACGTGCTTAAGATTAGCCTTGTGTTGCGTACGAATAGTTCGGCGAAGTAGTACTGACTTCGACTTGTGATACTAGGTAATTCTAGTATCTATTCTGTTTTTTTCAATTTTCGCTTGTTTGCCAATTACTTCAATTTATGTTGTACATATGATAACGAAATTCCCACTAAACCCGAACGATGCCACTCTATATCTTAACAAGGTTCTATTACGGTGTCGATCAATAAAAACACTTCATTATTTAATGAGATGAGCTAAGGGTATAAACAATGAAGACTGAAGTTGACATATCTATATTGATCAAGTCAACAAAACTATCAAGTAAATGTGCGGCATAATATACAAACATAGAAATATGTTATCCCTGAATATACTTCAACTACTGTACAATTCATTAATCCAACCAAATTGTACTTACCGATTAGCATTAGCACTTAAATAGAATTTTTATTACACAAAAAATGGTAGTGCATGCTATGACGTTAACCTCCTCTTGACAAGTTGAACCTGTGATGGAAGTCGCATCTCCTGATCATATTAGTGTCGAAACCGCTCAGCTCAGAGTCTGGCTGAAGTGCTCCACAATCCGCTGGTTCTGATTGCTGTCCACATGACCACGCCTGAATTAATTCAATGTTTGGCCAGTACCTAGTTCATCACAACAATGGACTTGCGTCCCATGTCAACCTAGCCAAAAACTTGTAGGTATGAGAGAGATCGTCCGAGACCTCTCTGGCTTCTTTTGTAACCAGAGGTTTGGCCTCCTTTAAACTCGAGGCCACATCCACCACTCTAAAGGCAAATTTGAATGAGGCAAGGGAAATGGTCTTGTGGCAAAAAAGTCAACTTGGTGTACTTTTTTGGTGTACTCGCATAAAATTTTGAACGTGGAATGTGTCATTGGGCAGGCAAATAGATCTGCAAAATGACCTGCTTCTTGAGGCAATCTTGAGCCACATCTTCTGGAATTCATTCACTGCAGCGGGCTTCTTGAGTTGAGACAAGTCTCCAAATTGCTTCTTTCGTAAACAGAGGTTTTTCAGAATCACATTCTTTTTGACACAAAATGAAAGTGTCCCGTTTGTTATTGAACACATATTGTAATAGTGCAAGTCCCGTGATATAGTATGTATGAACCACTTTTCATAACATTCTTCGCTATGATAATGATAAATACTGTGAATCTGTTCTCAATTATGCAAACAGTGCATCAATCTATATGAACAGTTTGCTGGAAAATGAAACTTATCTTTGTAGTAATATCAATAAAGTGTGTTCATGAAATAAATTGTAATTTTAAAGTAACTCACTTAATTGTTAATTGAAACAAAGTGGTTGAAATCAGAACCAGTGAGTTGTGCAACTATTCCTAATGTACTTGACGAGCGCGTGTTCATGTATATAGACGACAAAAGCAGACACAATGTCACGAAAACGCCAGCAAGTCTATGATTACGAACAGAAGTGTTAACATCTGTAACATTTTCTTTTATTTCTGCGTTTTTTTGTCTTTGTAAGCATTATTACAATATTGCTAGTGGCAGTGTTGTATGTTGCAATGCAGTGAAATACACAAATCTGAGGCATTGCCGCAAATAACCAGATTTCATTCAAATTTGAATATTTAATAGTGATTGGCTTAAGAGCTGAACATTTGTCACACCCAAAATGCGCACGCATGATTTAACGTGACATAGCAACAGTGACCACCAACATATTCAAAATGGGGCGTTCGCTGATTGTCGTCTAATTAAATCACCAGAAGATTGCAAGTGTTTAAATTGAGTGAATAAACAAATATTTGAGACTTATTTTGGTGTAAAAAACTCAATTTATTAATCACCCTTACAAGTGGTTAAATTAAATACATTTCTCGATAACTATTGGCCAGGTATTTGGGAGTAAACAACTTTAGTTTATTTAATATTAAATTTGTTTTAAACAATTTTCAGGGGTAGTTTTTCCGCCTCTTTCTCACAGTTTTGTTAATCCAATTTCTGTATTAATATAAAGACATCAATGATTACTGTCACTGGGCTACATTTAGTTTTATATATGTGGTACCTTTGGACATCATTATCGACTAGATGACTATCAATAACGTTTTTCACGGTGGGAAACAATCGCCGAATTCATTCGATTAATAATGCGACGTTTTAACATGTTAGTATTATTTAATCATTTATTTGTCAAATTTGTTTTTTTGACAACATACTGTGTGAGCATAACATACAATTGCTTCCAGTCAAAAGTATGTTTGTGAAGTAACTATAGTTGTACTTGATTAGTGTATACAATAAAAATATGAAATGTTTGTTTTTTATCATCCCGCTTATAATGTTGCACACATGGAAACTATTCAACACAACATTCAAGAATGGACGATAGAAACTATAGGACGTATTGAATTCAGGGACTAGCAAAATCTACACAGATAAAAATCGCACAGAAAATGAAAAAAAATAATCTAATTGCCAACCCCTAACATAAACAAAATTTTCACTGAACAAACAAATGTTGGGTTGCTTCAAAATGCGCGTACATCTGCACCGGACACCTCTTCCACAGCGGAATAAATAGCAACGCACAAGTTGTGGTATGCAAGTATAGATAGTGGGGGTCGCCCCAGTGTTTTTTTTCACTTTGCCGAAACAACATTCAGCTGGGTTAAACCCAGGCGAGTAGGTTGGCGTGAAAATGACTTCTATTCCCTGTGTATTAAACCACATATTGAGTGTTTGTGCGATCTCACTATGATGGTTGGAGGGCGGGTACACCGTACTCATCAACTGTCTCTACACACTGCCGCATGAAGTCTGCAAAGTGCATCGAATTTGAAGCTTCACCAAGGACTTCGATGTGAGTCACCCCTGAAATCACATTAGCAAGTTTAATGTATTATTAGGATTGGGGTCGTACCGAGCAAATTGTACACATATACTGTACATTTCTCAATGTGAATCTCTGCTCAGCAGATTTTGTTGTTCGCTTGTACGTCCACTTTCCACCTGTGAAAACAGTTTTCACTGCGCGACATATCGTCATCTTTGACACAGTACAGTTGGTGAAAACTGTTCAAATTGTTATTTCATTTTTTTTATACATTATGGAATGTTTGTCTGTCTTCAGGCTTTACAAGTAGGCGACGTCATTCTTAATAATGAATGAATTTATTAATTAATGTCAATGTACTTCCCCAGTCATTTCAAGCTCATCCTTTCAAAATTGTTAAGACAATTTCTTTTCAACTTACTCATGATAAAACATGCATCATAGTCAGAACCTTTTTCAAAGTATCCTCATAGCACTGTAATTAACTTCAACCTCTCTCCTCTCGCCTTTTTGTGTTGTTCAAAAAACTTGTGATATTTTAGAGTTAATATCGCCATCTTGCCATTTGCAACCAGGACTTACCTTTCGCCTGCCAAAGGCAAATGGGCTAGCTGCAACAGCCAGCTTACAAATATCCCTCAGCAAACCATGATACCAGGCACTTGTATATCATGTTGATTAAAATTAACTAAAGTGTGCTAACTGGGATGTTATCAGATTATTAAGAAACCCTATTTCAGTTCTACCTTTTCTAGTATTCAATATTCTCCTAGAATAAGAAAAAACATGGGGGAAATAAATTTGGAAAGATTGCTTAATTTATCTGTCAAGCCCATTTCCTATAACTTCTTGATAGTCTTGATAGCCATTATTTGTCTGACTTTTTTATTAGTTGCAAAACATTTTTCCTTACATCATCACATGTTGATACCTTCTCATCTTGTTTGAATGATGAATTGTACTGTTACTTGTTAGAAAAACTACACTCTAATTGCTAACTTGAAAGCCTTCTGAAATATACTGACAAATTACTGTGCATGTCTGAATACTTGATATACGTATTTAAACGTACATTATTAAAAAAGAATTAGGACACCACTTTCAGATCAAGAGATTTTACCAAAGCATGTAAATTTAGGGGAA